TCCGGCAGCAGTAATTTGTTAAGCGTAATCGCAACCCTATTGTCCTTTCTGAGAAGCATTCTTCTACAACAAAAATACTCATTCTTATACCATATGTCTCACAATAAAAGCAAGGTTTTGTGAGGATATTTGAGCTCAAGAATGATTAGCATGATGAGAGAACCTTAATCAGCCAGTCCTGGGCAAACGCCATAGAGGTGGACTGAGAATGATCTTCAGCCACTCACATGTACTACACCATTCAGAGCACTCACTCCTGATTCTCACGGCCAGCAACACAGTCCTTATAACCAAAGTAACCTACTCATTCTAACAAGAAAACGAGGCTTCAATCCCTCGGGCACTCTGGCTCAGCGGTTGATATGGGCCACTCAGCTGGGTAAGTAGGATTTCCACGTGTCTCTATTCAGACGGACCTAGACCCCTTTAGTTCGACTCCACGCTCGAGAGCCATTCTTTCGCACTTTTGATAACTCAAATACATTCCGCCACTTATGCAGATGTAGGCTTGTGAATGGGACGACTAATGTTAGGTTGACATCGAATCCGTGACAAGCAAGAACTCTGGACTTGAGGGTAAATTTAGGTTGGTCCACCTCATAAATGTTAACTCGACAGACTGCTCTTCCTATTGAGTCGTACAAATATATCTAGCATCAAAGGCCTTTCAATTCAGAGATAGCCAAACGCCTCAAACCATCCTTGAATTTTCTTTCTACTCTCTGGTCATCTGGGACCCCAATGTGAAAGGTTACAGAGGGAGAGTTTTTTACGCTTCGGGATGCCTCTGTCGAGGGTGCCCCGTCTCTTTCACGACCTACAATTGGAAATTAACAAGCGGACATCTTGGAAAGGCTGTGATGTAATTAGTCTCTCACTTGTATTCGCCACGGGTATTTGAGAGCACCCGCTTGACATCTTCTTAGCTTCATGGCGTAACAGCTTACCTGTCTTACAACCATCGATCTCTTGGGTCTGGCTAAAGGCTCTCCCACTTTGAAACTTGCTGCAGGTCCCACTTTAGGTGCTCGAAGATGTTTCCCTTGTCCAGAAAGACGTATCCAAAACTCATCTGAGTGGGTAAGGGATTGGGTGTTAGCACAAATATTCCAGGACAATTGCTATGAGTGCTGGCCCATAGCACAGCCCATCCAAATGATGGGCCCTCTTCTGTCTCCCCCTCGAATAGAAGCTCCCTACATTCCATTTGGGCGATGTGACGATCCGTGTCAATGACTTCACTCCCTCGGACGGACTCCTCAGATACATGGTCGAGTCGATTGCAACCTCCACGATTAAGCTGGCGTTCCATGATTGCATATTCATCGTCTGTGGCTCCCTCGACCATAGTTCCTTGGACTTTTAGGTTTCGTAGTACAATGGAAACCTCGTCCTGCAGCTGTGGAATCAGTTGTGGAATGAACTCCTCACAATTCCATATTGTGTAGAAACGCTCCAGCCCGCGCGTCGCCAGCGCCTCGAGAAAACATTCATACGCGGGCGAGAGAGGCTCTAGATCAGTCGTACGTCAGGAAACGTTACGGACGAGGAAATGACAGTGAAAATACCTTCATTGAGATCAAAGACCTTTGACGTTGACAGGTCCTGGTAGACAATCTGGAAACTCTGTGCATCTGGGTCGATACGATTGACAGTGCCTGAAGGAAAACGAAGAAGCTGGCGGTAGTAGAACCGGATCTCACAGTAGATACAACTCAGCTCTTCAATTTCCCAAGGTTGTAGGTATTTGTTCAGAAAGCGTAGCATGTCGGCATTCGTTGTCGTCGGTAGCAGACGAGCGGTGATACTCCCCAGGCCGTAGTAGCTGCACCACATCTCGAAATGGTAGAGCCCACGCATCATACGGGTTCTCTCTGTAACGCTAGCGCTGACTCCGCTATAGTCTTTCGCCTCCTGACGACCCCATTGATGCAAAAGCCATAAGAGAACCGATCTTACAATCGAGGAGTAGAAACGTGCGATGCCGGCCAGATCATCAACAGTACATGCTGCTTTGAAACTCTCTGGATCGGACCGCAACTTGAGATATGTATCCATGAATTCTTCCAGCAGCTTAACTTTATCTTCACTGGTTGATTCGCGCAGGATGCCCAGCTTATAAGCCGCAAAGGCATCAACAAATACGCGATGGCTGCGGAAGGTCTTGCTTAGGTGGTGGTATAGGAGTCCGTGCCTCGCTGTGAGATAACATTTATGCAAAGTGGGCGAGGCGCAAATGGCTGCGTGTAGATCATCCAAGTCCGAGAGATTGCGGAGGACTTGCAACTGAATTTCTGGAAGGAGGCCATCGAGGGTCAAGCGCCTAGCGACCTGCGATCCGCTGATAGTGGATATGGTCGAACACTCGGTCTGGTGTTTCGCTGCATCGGAGTCTGGGCGGTGAGGGCGTTACTTTTCTGCATCTTCCTGTTTCCCGACAAGCGACTGATCTTCATCAGACCCCATTGGAGTTATACCATTCGCGATGGTTAGCTCTTCTCGGCAGCTTGGCTGGGGTGAAGGTAATAATGATTCAATAAGCGACGCCATTTCGTGGCATGTGTGAAGTGAATGGGGGAAAAGCTTGGTGCTCAGTGGCGTACGCTTTAAGTTGGCTTGGTGGGACCATACGCTGGGTATTAAAGTGATGGGCACTTACGATTCTCTAGCCCACCGAGCGATCCACGGATGCCTAAAGCCTGACAGTCACATTTTGCTCGCTCTCAGTCAATGAACTTTGCAGGCAACTTCAGCTTAAGGTAGTGACCGACATAATGCACTGCGTTTGTGCCTCTCGATTGGCGGTGGACTTGGTTGCGAGGGGCAGTCGATTACTAGTAAGGTACCTTGAAGTCAACCGATGATACCCTCAAGCTTAAACTTTTGTCTGGCGAATTCAGTGCTGCCGACGACACCCAAGAACAAAAACGAAAATTACTTCTATCCCACCACACTTTGCGTATCGTGTGGGAGCTGACGGGAGTGAAAACAACCAATCATCGTATCTGACGCGGCGGCACTAATAAAGCACAATATGGTAAGAGTTGGCCATCGCCTCAACTGAATGTGGTCAGAATACCCTAGATTTACAGCGACACAAAGAGTTTTGTGGCGGGATTCTTAGGCACTGCAAATGTACAGATGCATATGCGTTCAAGTCGAATTGCGGACGTCGCCATGCTGTTAACTTTGGAAGAGCTTGGATTGACGAAGTAGCGCTATTGGCATGTAATACTACTGATTCCATTTCGACAGGCTAATAGACCTGACTGGTCTGGTTGCGTGTGGTTTTGTATTGTCCAAGATGATAACCATTGCCAAGACCTGAGATGGGAAGCTCGTTCATCGTATGTCGCTGCATGCCGTTCGCATTCAGGTTTCTCGTATGCCACCGAGCACGAGATAGCATCAGGTGTTTGTCCCCCACTTTTTCTCCAAATCGAGGCGTTTTTACACTTTGAATCGGCGTGAATGGGGGATGGGACTGGCTGATGAAAATAGTATTACTGGCATTCCCTCACGCTCGATGGGGCGGCACCCTGGGCTGGCAACATTCACCTTAGTCCGCAGCCTTTCAATGCGGTTATCCCGAGTTTTCACATGGATCTTTTAAAGACTGGCTGTGAGGATCAAGCTCCGCAGATTCACACATAGGGAGCTTTAGGGGTTTGCCTGCGGCATGTATCTTGCATTGTTTACCAGCTGCCTTTCCATCACGAGCTGCTGAATGAGGATTGCTACTGTGCCCCCGCAGACCTCAACCGGGTGGTGTGGATGATACAGAACTGAGACGCCAATGCCATCTTCCCTGAATATTATGGCAGTCATGTTCCATAGACGCCAGCTCGCAATCTAGTGAATAACAACCCAATGCAGTCTCCTTGCACTTCCTCGCCGTGAGGAGGCGGCGCAGAATCACGATCATGAATCATGTCCGGCTCCGTGCAATGGATCCGGCATAGCAGGCCTCCGCAGTGTCAAGGACCACTTTAACCGCTGGACAACCCCTTCCGTATTTGGCCGTCCGTGTTGCATTTCTCGTTTCTCCACCCCAGGCTGCCGTCTGGGCCGCATGCTCAGTTGAGGCGTTTCCAGAACTTCGGGCTACCTTGGCGCGCGCTTACGTCGTCCCTCGCACTGCGAGACGATGCTTGCAGTAGTACTGGCATGCTTCATCATGCCCAGGTGTCAAGATGCCCGTCTGACACTACATCTAGAATAGATGCAGCAACTTTGTGTGATGATCGTTATACAACTGGTACGTCTGGTCACTTTGTCAAGGACTGCCCTGGTCCTGTCGACTGTAGCACTTCCCCGGCCAACCCTCTCTTCCAACATGAACACATACACCCGACAGTCTGGCTGCTACAGGAATGATACAGACACGCCAAGCTGCCATGCGCCAAACCAGGGAAAACTATCCAGGTTGCCAAATCTGTGCCTGGCAGACTTACTTCTACCTCCAATGACAGTTAGATAAATGGGAGCGCTTGGTGCTTGTGTTAGGTCCGACGACCCTAGTAACCATGCAGGAGAGTGGCACCGGAGGATCTTCGTCAGGTGGCCCCATTTCCATGTCGATTCTGCTACCAACAGCGTTGGACGCGCCGTGAAGTCTACTGTATCAGTATCTATGGCCAATTGGAGATTCATTCCCGGAACGCTCTTGATGTTAAGTCCCCTGGTAAACCTCGGGCTGTTTTCGACATATCGCCGACTTACACTCTCAACGCTTCGCCTAGCCGCGCGGTTCTACTGGCCATCAAATACTTGTCCGTTGAAAAGAGCAAATTCAACTACAAAACCTGATGTTCTCATAAGTCGACTACTTGAAGCCTCTCTAGATCATGCAGCTTCTTCTGCTAAAGAATTTCTTGACACATATCTCCCACTCGAGTCAAAGCCGTAAGGAGCTCTGCACAATTATTGCCCTGCTTATCGTCTATCTCAACATCAAACGCTCACTTTCTAAGTTCTCTTCCTTGTCTTCATCCACCATAATGATCGGCCTTTTGCAGCCACTAGACTTGTGGAAAGAGGGCGTGGCTACACACGACAATGGACTGGCGCCGGTATCGCCAGTACCGTCAGTATCGAAGCCTCCAGCTAGCCCTGCCGCCAATCTTCACGCCATTGTGCTTGCTTTCCGAGCCATTACAGTGCTCAAGACAGCAAGCACTTCAGCGACTACTCGAATCAAAAAGACGACCTCTGTTGATGTAGACAAACACTCCGCGGTATCTCTCCTAAAAGTGCATCCAGGTATGTTAGCTCCAGATTGACTTCCCACATATGCACAACATATAGGCTAATACGTAAATCGAAACGAAGTGTATCAAACTGTGCCTCTTCGCCTCAATGAATTCCGTATTCTCCACGTGGAGCCATCCACCTCCTTCTCATCGCAAATTGTGGCCAGACTCTCTGTGGTTGACTACGATCCCGAATCCAAGAGCGTCTCAGCCTCTTACGACGCTCTCTCCTATAGATGGGGAGACCCCAACGACACTGTTACAATTGTCGTCAACAACGCAGAGTTGAAGGTGACAAGGAATCTGTCCATTGCTCTTCAGAATCTCCGTCACAAAGACCGAGAGCTCGTCATCTGGACGGACGCTATCTGCATCAATCAGATGGACATAGAAGAGCGGCAGGTCCAAGTAACTCTAATGGGTGCCATCTACTCAAAGGCGGCCTGTGTGCAGATATGGCTTGGCGAGTCTGATCACGATACTGAAGCGGGAATGGATCTCGCGAATAGCTGCAGCGGCATACGTGCAGACACCGCAGCAGTCGCGAAAAGGATCTGCGCCGATGGTCGTGGGTCTGCTGGATTGGCGGAGCTCCTCGAGCGGCCATACTGGAGCAGAATCTGGATGTTCCAAGAAATCCTCCTGTCAGGAAAGGCGCAGGTTCAGTGTGGGCAGTTCAGCACATCATTTGGTAACCTCAAGTACCTGGATTTGGTGACCTCCAAGGCATCTCTGTGGAAAGACCGAAAAAACCCTCCACCCTGGACCATCCGACTTCGCAAAGCATTCTTCAACACGGCACAGTTTACCATTAGTCCAAAGGCTCTCAACAACTTGGAGCACATTCTTGTTCTCACAAGACCGTTACAAGCGACCGAGGCGCGTGACAAGCTCTTCGCCCTCATGGGTACGTGCGATATGGCCCCGTATCTGTCCGTCGACTACAGCAAGTCGCTACGCGATATCTATGTCGAGTTCGCCAGGCATTACGCTCAAAAGACGGGAAGCTTGGCTTTGTTTCTCCTGGCCGGGTCCCAAAATCCAGAAGACCAAACTGATATTGGTCTTCCTTCATGGACTCCAGACTTTCGCTCTTCGACAGGGGTGGATATCTACACTGGCTACGGGATCGAAAATACAGGTACCTTCAATGCCACAAAAGGAAAGCGCTACATCGAAACGTACTCAAAAGAACACATAACGGGGGATACCGACGGAGTCTTCATAGCCAAAGGATATCTTTTGAATACGATCAAAACCACAGTTCCAGTCTTGAAAGATGCGCAGACTCCTAAGCAACTGTTATCGATGCTGCAATTTGGACAGCTCGACGGTCACCCCGGGGGTTCTGGCAAACCTCAGATCGAATCACTATTCGAGAGTCTCATATACGACACTAATGGGTTCACTGAAGAGGACTCTGAAGCTCGCAGCGCCACAAAGCAACATCATCGATTGAATTATATGCTTGGGCTCATGCGAGACTTGGAGACATATATGGGAAACGAACTTCCCAGGAAGCAAGACGGCAATGTTGACTTCAACGCCCTTTTCCGCTCCAAGAGAGGTAGCGATCTCCCCTACGTCACCTTCTACGAGTCAATCAAAAGGACTGATGCCTCCCAACTCGATGTTCATTACAAATCATTCATGAAGGAATTTTTGTTGAAAGCAGGAAGAGCGTCGAGCATGTTTGTCTCCAACGACAGCAAGCTTGGGCGGTGCAGCGTCGTTGCACGATCTGGTGATGTCATTGCCCTACTTTTCGGGTGTCCTTTTCCTGTGATTCTGAGGAGACAAGAACTGGGATTCGAGTTTGTCGGTGCTTGTTACATCAGCGGCATGATGTATGGGGAGCTGATGACTACCGAGAGTCATGACTTGACGGTTCAGGAGATCCCGTTGATCTAAGAAAGATATCTAGCAGCCTAGTTCTAGCGTGTATCATTATCAGTATTTTTTTCTTGTCAGATGTCTCTGTAATAATTGGTTAGTAATAGTGTGTCTGGTCAAGAGTGTTGCCACATGTGATGCCATTTGACCTGGTGTGCTGCAAAAACGTCTCAATCAACAGCTTATGCCAAATTCGCGCGCGCGGTAATGATTACCAGTCACTCTGCTCCAAGTCAGGTACTCCGGGGGTTTGACCCCAGCACTGGCGGTAACGATTTCCGACATTGGATCCTGGTCATTGGTTGTGAAGATCATGCGGCCAAGCGCCCAGCTCAACCCCATTCCTTAGTACCTAAGGTACCTTGGCCTGCGCCCACTTGCGCGCGCTTGCAGCAGCCAAGGGCTGAAACCATTGATCTAGTGAATTCGTTATCTTTAATATGCTTGGGCAGCTAAAAGCCGCCTGAAATCCGCTTCGTCGCTGAGTTCGCTCCAATTGTGACTCGTTGTATTACCTAGTACCTTACGTTCTACTCGATCTGTTCAGTACTCAGATGAAAGCCACACACCACCAGCGACAGCCTGCATATATCACGAAAATGTGTTGGAAACCGGCGATGATCCACCGGGAATGCCACTGCCTTTACGATGAAAGTGGTATTAGATATTGTGACGACCGCGAACATCCAGACCACACAATTGAGCAGAAAGAATGGGTGGTAGACATGCCATGTCAAACACATCAAAGCCACAAGTCGACTCCCTTCAGCACGTGGTTTTTCGATCGTGCGAGCGAGTTTAAGAATGAGACTTATTCAGACGTTCCTGACGGTGATTCTACGTCTGACGACTCGAGTTATAAGACTGATGAAGAAGCACATCATATTGGAAACTTAGAGGTTGTGGAAACTTACGAGCAAGACGAAAAGGTGATGGACAGGCTTGGACAGTTGGTCCAAGAAGTTGTCTCAGGTATGTGGTCAAAATCACGTCAGTAGCAAGGAATATTTTCTTACCCTTAACTCTTTGTGCATCTAGATGGAAAAGCGCAGGGCGACAATACGAGCGAGACTTCATTGGACAAGATGTTCGAAATAGAGTACTTGACAATTTCTCAGGATTTATTCATTTGAGAACTGTTGAGATCCACCTGGAATTCTGTAATTTCGTGTTCCCCATGTTGCGTCAGAGATCTCGCTCAAGACGTAGACGCGATTAACGGGACGGTATTCCTGTTGCAAAACATACTATTGGGTATCTTGCAGCGCATGTTTCCGCAGTTCCCCTCCCATCTGATGTGGTGCAGTGCGCGAACGAGGTTTCACAACGTCAACAAGGCGTCCTTCAATGAAAATTGAGGGCAGTGTACTGATTTGCTGAGATACCATACTAGTACTGGTGGGCAAACCTGCACCCTGATGCATGCTATGGACAAAACTGCATTAGTTCGGCGTGATCAGGCTTCGCGACGCTTGAAGGCAGAATTTATCGACAGCCTCTGTTCTTTGGTGCCAAACCGCGACTTCCTAGGGTCATACTCCGAAGCAATCCGATCGTCGTTGTTAGCGAAGAAATTTTATATCTACCTAATTACAGGAATGTGTTTTCAACCTTCAGAGCTATACTCAGCTTGTCGTTGTTTGTATTATCAGCATATCATCGACCGCTGCGCCGCCTTCGGCAGACCAGGACATCCGATTCAGAACCGCACAATCCTAGTGGGATCTGCATGCCATGCCCACAGCACAAGTAACGACATCGATGCAAGCCAAAACAAACCTTCAAGCAGCAGTGGAGATCCCACAAGCGCGACCGACTCAAATTTTGTAGGAGGTTACTTTCAGCGAGCAGCCGAATTAGGCTCCCCGAGTTTTCACTTGACTCAGACCGCAGGGCCGAGGCTGAGCCCCAACCAACTCGTGAACAACATGCAGAATGTGAATGCCCTCGAGGCCAACTATCATCTTGGCAAGACATTGCTTTTCTTCTTGTTGCATTATGTTCTCCTGGATGAAGATTCAAGTCGCTGACTATGGCAAAGTTTACGAGCGCCTCCCTCTGGGCTCCAATCAATTGCGCCTAATGAAGATTCGTCCTGCAACATCACTCACTGACCAAGTCACCGCATCTCTCTTGGTTGGGGCCTTCGATGATGATTCGATCCCTTCCGACGCGCTATCATACACCTGGGGCGACCTACCAGATAATGACACCATCCTTGTCAACGGACTTTCCATGAACGTGAACAAGGGCTTTCTGGCAGCTTTGAGGCACCTTCGTCTATGCGACCAGGAGGTCACACTTTGGGTTGATAGTATTCATATCAATCACGATAACGTGCCTGAACGAAATGCTCAGGTAGCAAGAATGTGTGCTATCTATAGGCGGGCAAATCAGGTACGGATCTGGCTAGGAGAATCGTCACCCGACTCTCCCAAAGCAATAAAACTCGCCAACGACTGTGCAAAGATACGGACTGCTATCACGTTGTGAGTCCGTGTTATGTTAGCGGTATTAGGGAGCTGGAAAAGCAATTCGGGTCTAACATGCCAGATGGCTTGGAGGTTCGCAAAATATCTTTGGTGTAACCAGGCCAGCTAATTGTTAGAATTGCCTTATTTTGTTTGCATCTTCTTTACAGTTACCATTAGTGATCTTCCAAGCGTCTGTCCTTGACACTAAATACTGACTCTATTATTTCCGCTAGAAGACCATGTTGCTTCCAATTTCAATCTCGTTGTTCAAAAAGTTAGGATACAACTTTTTGTCAAACCCCTCTTATGAAGTTCATACTCACAAAAGCCTTTTAGTAAATTCAGGTGGTTTTGCGAAAGGCGACACAGTGGCAGGCACGACGCTACAAAAGACGGTCGAACCGTTGGTGGTCTCGCTCTGTAGAAGAGCTTGGATTGCGGCACTCTGCCGCCAAACCTGAAAAATGAAGAGCACATGCAGTATCATAGCTAGAAGCTCTGAATACCTTATTCAGAGTAGGAGACAGCTGCCCAGAAAACCTCCGCGACTTTTGAGTAAGATTATTAAGTCACATAACAACTTAGAAGTCAAGCAGGCAGGTCTATGGAAGTTCGAGATGAACAGAGTCTTGACTTGGTATTTCAGGTTGGCAACAAGATCAACGACCGGAATAGTGGTTCGGAAGGTCAATTCGAGTTACGAGATATTATTAGCGTACCTAGTTTAGGTAGTAGAAAACGAAATTTAACAGACTCTGTGCTATTCGGTTTTTGGCCTGTGTCTAGAAATGTTGTCGTTCACCTTCTCAATCTCTTCCCTCGCTCGATCCCACCGAATTCGCTTGCCATCAAAGTAGCGGTAGATATGTGGACTGTAGATGCCACCCATGAGAAGGTTGCAGAATGATCGATCTTTGAGCCAGTATCGCCATCCCTTCCAACCCCACCCCAGATATTCGTCAACCCCAGTTCCAGCCATTTTGTCCGCCCATGCTGACCAAGAATGGCCATTGACAAGCTGCGGGTGAACATTACTTTTCTTTGCAAGGTCACACAGCCAATCATGATGCTCGTCGACCGCCTGCTCCATCTCGTGCTGAGTTGGAAGATCCGAGTTCCCCTTCCAGATTTGTACGACGGCCATGGACGCCAGGTCATATAGAACGAATGCCCCCGTTGCGAACGCCACGCATCCCATGAATGCAAGTGAGTCTGGGTACTTGAGCGACAGAACATTTTGATACAGGCGAGGTAGCGGTTTGCCCCTAGACCCTTGAGTTTCAGTCCACTTCGATGTCGCATTAGCCGTTGGATCGGCTTCGTGGTCCAATAGACTGAAGTTGGGTTTGTATCCAGTGCAGTAGATGATAGCATCCACCTTCAGACTCCTTCCATCCATCAACTTAACTTCATGCGGCCCGGTTACGCAACTGACACCCGGTACAGATTCAACTTTACCACTCTCAAGCGCTGGGACAATATCGTCCGAGACGACTGGGGTGCTGGTTTTGATCGAGGGAGCTGGTGAGAGATTCCACTCAGGACGAATATTGAATGAAGAATCCTGCAGCTTTTTGACAAAGCCATTGAACAGGCGTTCAGATAGATTAGGAAAGAACCGCTCGAGGAGCCTTTGGAAAGTGATCAAGCGGATGTTGAGTGTGTGGTCAATCGGACGACCTTTGTTGGTTCGAGGAAGCTTACGGCAGACTAGACTTCGTCCTCTTAGTGTTCGATAGGTTGCGGTTCATAACTTACGATGAGAGCACCCTCTCGGTGAGAAACATATATCTCGCTTGCATGGCCCACAAGTGACGTTGCAGTGTCAGCGCCGGTGTTTCCCAAGCCGAAGACCAGCACTTTCTTCTCTGCGAAGTTCTCTGGGCTGAAATGCGCATTAGCAGCAAAGATACAAAACCGGCATAGTGTGACAGACCCTTTGTAAGATTTGGAGTGGAGCGTTTCGCCTTCGAACTGGTCAATGCCTTTGACATTCGGATAGTTGGGTGTTTGGTTCATTCCTGTTGCGATGATGACCCTATCAAACATTTCTTTGGGTGAATCAGAAATTTCAATGATCCATTTGTTGAGAGCCTCGTCATGCGATACATGAGTGACAACTGTACTGAGGCGCATCATTGATCGCAGCTTGAAGTGATCGACATAGTCCTCAAGATACTGCGCCACCTCTTCGGCCGAGGGTTGACTGGTTGTCGCTATGAGTTGTGAGAGGCTAGCCTTTAGTCCAATTGGCAGACTTACCATCAGGAAACGGGAAGTCTGTGAAACACCCCTGATGATGTGTCAGTTGCGTTGACTATCAAGTGACTTGTTTGCACATTCTGGAAAATCTTACTCTTTCTTTCGAAATGTTGACAACAGTTGCTGTAGTAAGTCAGTCAGTGATGGTCTAACGCTAATCGTAGCTGGAGCATCGTGCTACTCACTAGGTAACACAGAAGTCTTATCCTCTCGGGTAAACTTCCAAAGACCGCCAACATAGGAATTACGCTCAAACCCGGTCACTCCGAAACCTTCTTCGGCAAGATTCTTCAAAGATACGATACCAAAGGCACCTACCATGTGTCAGAATGACCAACTCGTTCGATACGTTTACTACACTCACCGAGTCCGATCACTGCGACTTTGCTCCTTGGGGCGTCCATTCTTACAAACTCGAGGTCATTCAGGATACATAGGATGTCTCAAACCAGCTATCGTCAGGGAATCACGCGCAATATCTAGTTCTTTTTGTCTTGGCGAGTCTCACGTTATGGAAAGCCGGCGCCTGAACTCTTGAAACCTTGAGGGCTGAAAGTCATGCCACCACTTCCGCTGTTCCGCTGTGGCGTCCACTAGCACCTAGCCAAGCGCACCTAGTAGCGAAACCACGACATAAATAAGCGAGGCGATACGAGGGCAACGCCTGATTGGTGTCTCTGATCAAACTTCTCACTGTCAGCATTGATATACTTCGGAAGGTATGCACTGCGTTTCTCGTAAGTCCGTCATTTTACGAGCTTCTCCGAGATGCAAGTGCTCGCATGATATTATGGTCCGAGACCGGCCTCAGCTACTCCAATTGCTGAGTCTCAAGTCAGCTTTTGTTTGTTTCTTCAAGTTTGGCAGACTGCATGCCGTTGATATTAGATGATAAGTTCGGAGCAAACCACAACAGCCTATGAATAGTAAAAGAACATAGATGTCGGTCTTCGTTTGGCATCCTTCAAGCAAGTGGGTAATCATATAATGCATACGTAAGCAGCATAAAGTAAAAAGAAATCTGAAGCTTCCCATCATCCACTGGTGCTTCCACCACGCTCAAATATGGTCAAGTTTATAGAGTGCTGATACAGGACCGATACCATGATTTGATTAAGTACTTACGTGGATTTCGCACCAAGGGTGAGAGTAAGTTGACGGAATTGAATGCTACAGTCGACTGCCCCCAGCTCTCAAAATTAGCTCAACAAAACCTTGATGCTAGGTTTGGCTACCCCGTCAAAGTCGGAACTCATCAGGCACCGAAATCTACACTTTTTCCGATCACATCCAAGGTTATCTCAGCACAGGGCTTCGAACTAGGTTCCGGATCCTATCTAAAAAAAAAACATCAAGGAGATTAGGAAACAATGAGCGTTCTGCAGGAGCCTATTTAGCCGGGCCTGATATGACAGCTGCGTTGAATGGCTGAAGTCTTGATTAATGTGCGCAAATCAGCTCAACGTTCTCGCGCTTGACAGCTTTGGGAGTTTTGACGATCCTACCCAGACATTTTTGCCATGTACCTTGGCACGGGAAAGAAATCGGGTGCTATATCTGTATAGGTAAGCCGCAGTATAAGCAGGGTGGTTTTCTTGTTATGCCGTGGTGTGCATTGTCGTGTCCATCCTCACCGCTCTTGCTACCGCGAGCTTGTCTCCATTCAAAATGTCGGCATTTTCTTGCGCCCCAGCGACGTTTGGGAACGTTTCACTGTTTGGGGCAGAGATTCTATCTTTGCAGACAAGTTTTGTCACCAATTACACCATCTCTGTCCCTGCTTCTGTTCGTTTCACCCAGCCGTCAGTCGAAGTGCAGAACGCGAGCTTCTGCAACATCACAGTAACCTACACCCACCCGGGCCAAGACGACGTGGTCAATTTCGAGGCTTGGCTTCCCGCAGAGGGATGGAACGGGCGTCTTCAGGCTGTCGGAGGCGGCGGTTGGGTTGCAGGCCGCAGTGAACCCTTTTACAGCGCCATGGGTGGAGCAATAGCTGATGGCTATGCGACGATCACGACTGACGCTGGGTTGGGGAACTCTTTGGACGCGAGTTCTTGGGCACTTCTCAGTCCCGGAAACGTTAACCTCTACAATCTGCAGAACCTTGCGTCTGTGTCACTCGATGACGGCGTAAGTCATTGCATCACCCTGGCACAGCTGGCGCTTCTAATTCTCAAACCTATAGGCAATCATTGGAAAGTTTCTCATCAAGTCCTACTACGGTCATGGGCCAGATTACTCCTACTGGAATGGCTGCTCTCAGGGGGGGCGTCAAGGATTCATGCTGGCACAGCGCTATCCAACGCAGTACGATGGCATTGCTGCCGGTGCTCCAGGGATCCAATGGACCGATTTCTTCCCTAGCATGCTCTGGCCTCAGCAGTACATGAATATGATCGGGGAGTACCCCCATGCATGTGAACTCACGACGATCACGGCGGCGGCAGTGTCTGCTTGTGATGGACTAGACGGTGTCAAAGACGGAATCATTGGTGACGTCGACGCCTGTCTTGATACCTTCAATCCTTTCGATATGGTTGGTCGAGCAATCAACTGCTCCGAGGCGCCTGAAGTTAGTCATGCAGCAGCAGCTGTAGCCAACGCTACGTGGCAGGGGATGCGCAACTCCCAAGGCGTACAGCTGTGGCCGGGACTGAGCCCCGGTACTGACCTGACTGTCGGCGTCGCAGCTACAAACTGTTCCACAGGGTCCTGCAGAGGTGTGCCTTTGTCTATCGCTACGCAATGGCTTTCGCTGTTTGTCGCAAGAGATCCAGATTTTGATATTTCCAACCTCAGTCATTATGAGTTTGATTGGCTGGCACACCGAGGGCGGCAGAAGTACAACTCGATCATTGGCACCGATGACCCTGATCTTTCTGCTTTCCGTGATGCCGGAGGTAAGCTGGTAACTTTTCACGGCCTCGTAAGTCAGCATGAGCCCCTTATCCATCTCTAGGTAGTGAAAAAGCTTAATATTCCCACAGGTGGACGAGCTTCTCCCCCCAAAGGGGAGTAGCAAGTACTACGACAGAGTCTCCGATCTCATCCCGGGAGTCCACGACTTCTACCGGCACTTCGAGGTACCCGGCATGGGCCATTGCGGCGGAGGGAGAAGCGGGGAGCCAACTAGTCTGTTTGGTCAACTCCGCGCATGGGTTGAGAACGGCACCGCACCAGACCATACACCAGTCAAGGTCACAGTCTTGGATGGAGATGTGCAAGACCGCATCTTGTGCCCATATCCCCAAAAGACCGTTGTCGATACAAACTGGGATAGGACTCTGGGAACACAATGCTGGTCATGTGAGGCAGTCTGTAGGTATCACTCAAAGTCAATGCTTTTGCTGGGTGAACTGGCCAATCGGCCGGTCATTGTCGCGGATTTGGATCCTATAATTCTATCTTCTTGTTGGTATCATTTGCAGCACACGTCCGAAATCTTAATCGCAACCACTTAGTTGAACAAGCCATACAGCAGGTTCCCCAAGTTATGGAATCAGTTTTCCTGTAACGTGTTTGTCTAGTCACTGCAGCTGTTCGAGCAATCGTGCTTCTCAGCGTTATACCTGGAGTGGCACTTGCACTGAACATCCTGAACAGGGTAGCAGCTGCCAGAAACAGAGCCACGGTGGGGGTCCGCCGCGTTGGTGTTCTTGTAGTTGACGGTGAAGGACTTCCCGAGGGATCCAAACTTGCGGTTGATGTAGAAGAGAGCGTTGCCCTTGCGCAGGCCATTGTTGCAGTACTCAGCGGGCTCGTTGCGCGCCCAGTTGTCGAATTGGCCGCAGTCAACTCCGTAATAGCCGTTCACTGTGAGACGGAAACATCAGCGGCATGCTCGAGGAAGACAAGTAAAATATCGAGGATAATGGGAACTTACTGGCACTGTCGACCAGAATCCAGGGGTCAACATGGTCGTCGAAGCAAAAGTCAAGTCTGCACTGAACGCGCTGGCAGTCGCAGTAGCTGAAGCCGCAGTCACGCTTCTCGAGTTCGAAGGGGACGTAATTGGGAGAAGAGATGGCAGCCAGAATAGGAGAGGCCATCAAGCTGGCAAGAACCACGGAGAAAAGCGAAGGCATTTTGGAAAAGAGTGTAAGTAAAGAATGTAACGAAAGAGTGTGATGGGTTCTACAAGCCAAAGAGTGTACTGAACGGATCTGTTGGTCCTTCTATTCGAGAACTGCAAAGACATCTGGGTAGTACTGCTCTCTTATAGATGCGTGTACGATTGCTATTATTGGATTGAGAACACTTACTCGAAGCAGTTTGGCGAGACGGGCATACCCGACTTGGCTAACACTGCGGCCACGCTGTATCAATCAGTGGTTCATTGACATCGTGGTTCATTCAGTCTCTCGGCCGATGCGATATCTCTATTAGACTTTAGGCTAAGTGCCGGCGTCCCTGTATCCGTCGGCCTGTGCGCCTACTTCATCTGCCCATAAGGGCCATAGCACGAATCGTGGCGGCGGAACCTCCCACTACCCAAGCCTCAAAGACTCAGTCACCTTTTGCGGCTCCAAGGAGCGAGTCAGGAGCCACCTATCCATATTCACCAGTGTTCTGGAATCCAAATTGTCTGTACTGCCTCGATTGGAACAGACGGTAAAAACTTTGGAAACTACACAAGACCACTCCCGCGGTAGTACTTCACAAGTCCTTCACTCGATCTAGAGCCGGGTTCAGGTCACCCTACCCACGGATGGCGGGTACCCACTCATCTACCGACATTAGAACGGGGCCATCATTCAATGGCGGGCTAAGACGAGAGTGACAAGTTAGGCGAAGACTTCCACTTGTCTATGAAGTTGCGGATGTCATGAGGCGTGCCGTCACCCGTCCCAAATCACAATAACTCGGCTTACCGAATCCGAGTCTTTATTTCGCAGAGCCTCGCTTGCTGTCAAGCATAGATGGATGTGGGGGAAGATCGACACTTCGACTCAGTCCGAACTCCAGTTCATGTCAAATCAGGCAAGGAACCCCCCACTCGCCCAGCCGGTTCAACGGCAGCCTTATCCATAGAAAGTCGTTGGCATTTGACAGAGATCCGGATACGCCGGTGTCGGGACATCGTCGAGTCATCAGGGGGCGTTTCATCTGCCGTGCGTGTGCGCGCGTTTCCAGGCGCCGGTATGCATGGCACTGAGTGATAGGGAGCAGTTGGAACTACTTTAGATACAAAAATATCCATCTCCAGCGTATCTCGTATCCAGTTGTTCAGGAACTGTCTGGATGAGGCACCTTAGGCAGCTTCAGACTTTTGAATATGTGCACACCTTAGCTGTTAGAACCCTGGTCAAGTAGAGATTGGTGACTTATGCTTGACATAAGCTCGGGGCGTATGTCCAGTCGCAACGCGTCGTGTGCGCCCTTCCCTAAATTGGCGGAAGCTGACGAGCAGTCGGACTTAGGAAGTCATTCCCGCAAGAGTTGAAGTTTGGTGGATGTATGAGCTCCCGGAGTCCATATTATAAACTTCATCATCCAGGTGTGCTTACGTGGATTTATTCTAGCCTCCTCGGTTGCCTCGAAATGTCAAATGAGAGTATGGGACCCTAGATGTGCACAATTAGCAACTATCATCAGTGATCACTCATAATTCAGATTTGAAAGACGCCCACCAAAATGCTGATATAAGCCTTCGACATCTTCAACGCGTCCTAGATAACGGACAAGAAGTTTCTCGCGGAATGGAGCCAACAATATCGAATGGCTTCGGATACCTCTCTGCTTAGAATGCTTGAACAACATTATTGCATGGTTCACTACATAGTGCAGACGAGAGGCGGAGTTATTAAAAACCTTGAGCAGCATCGCTATTTTTACCAGGCAGAAGTGTTATGAGGTCAAATTAGGTAGCTGTTCCTATTCTGTACTCTGACTGAGTAATCTAAGTCATTCGTAAAAGCTAGCCACTTAAACTTTCAGTTCTTCGTATTGATTGGCGTCGCATTGGCGGGTGTGTTTAAACCGGAATCCAGCAGATTGTTTTTACACAGGGCGCCAATCTTGCTGGTGTCTGTTTAGGCCGCCGATGTGGACTGTTGTCTCAGAGCGACTTATGATTGAGATCATTCGTTCAGCTCCAGCCAGGGAGAGGGAACGGGGTGTCTTCTGGCTCCGCGGGCAAGCCTGCAGTTGGCAGAGGGGTAAGCGTGACAATCCTATCCTCTTCGGCCAGCCTGACCTCGCGGAACTTGCGCAGAGTCCAGACGTTCCACACGTTTGAGTCGATGACAACACCGTAAAGACCGGCTGTCGTGCCGGTCCACTTCGTGATGACCCTGAGATCGCTGTCTCGAACTCGAAGCTTGTCGACGAACTGGTCAATATTGGTTGCCTGTTTTGGGTAGTAAGTATCAAGACTGCATCTGATGGAGCTCAGTCCAGACAAGGGGTCTTACCGGGGCCAGGAAGACGATATATCGTCCAGCAAGGACACTAGCGATGTAGGAGAAGAGAGTGAATAGACTGAAGCGCATCTTGAAGATTGTGTTTCAGGTAACGACTAAGAATATTTAGATGGTGTGAGTGCAAGTTTGCTGATGATATCTCAAGATAGATGCAACTACCGGCCATCGCGACTACTCTTTATACTCCGTCGCTCTCCATCGACTCGATATAACCTCGAGACATTTCCTTCCGTCATGCGGGGTTTCGATCACACCTTCCGACTGCTCACCGGATGTCATCACGACGGGAAGGAATCTAGGGGCCGCCATCATCGTGTGCCAAGATCCTGCCTTGAGACATCCCCAGCCCGGTTAAAGGGCAAGCTCAGCCAGATTCCTCCGCAGCTTCTCCCTCATCCCACCTTATCCCAGATTAAATCTCTCACGTGAGTGGACAGAACTCTCTTTTTGCCAGCAGGCGCCATCACCTTTGGGTGTCGTCGGGGTCTTGGCTTCGCGCGTTGCGGGAGATCGGCGTGGTTCGTCCCCCGGTTGCGGGCATGTCCAAGACTTTGCCCTCTACTGTCTCTGAGACTAAATCTCCATAAACGGCAGCTCTGCATACCGGAACGAGCTGACATGAGATACGTTTTCGATTACTATAAGACGCAACCGCTATAATAGGACAAACTCGCTACATGTAAGTACCTAGAGCCCTTTCCCTCCCAAAATAGACAAACTTGTACGTGACTTACTAGTACTTGCTAGTATTGCGTCAACGGGCTCTAGTTTTCTCCCATCGGCTCGGCACGCTACGCCACGACCGCCTCATCGCCCCAGTTGCCCGAGACCATCGACGGCGGCTAACTTCGGATCATACGGTAGAGACATTTCAAACTTGAACGAATGTCTTAGAACCGAACCTCGCGTCCCGACTTTGCGCTCTCCTTGACAGCGTGAATGATACGCAGGACATCCCGCGCCTCTCTCGCTGGCACAGGAACGTACTCCTCCCTTCCAGTCTCAACAGCCTTGGCGAAGCCCTCGAAGAGCTTGAGATACGTCTCCGGCTTGTGCGTCGGCTTCATGCGCTCCTCGACCTGGCCACCCTCCTTGACCAGCAGCAATCTCCCGCCGTTCATGGGGTCCTCGACACCGAAACCAGGATCGGTGGGCTTGGCGCCAGCCTTGAGCTGGTCCTCCTGAGGGTCGAGGCACGTCTTGTGGTAGCTGGCTTTGGTACCGCGCACCCAGAAACGCGGCTGACTCGTCTCAACGCTCATGACGCCGATGCGTACGCTGACGATGAGGCCGTCTGGGTAGCAGAGCTGGGCGTGCACGCTGTCGGGGTCCTCGGGGTCAAACTTGCCGTCGCGTTGGCTAACGAGCTTGCCGTAGACGGTCTCTGGCATGCCGAAGAGATTGTAGGCCTGGTCGATGAGGTGGGATCCCAGGTCGAAAAGGGCGCCGCCTCCCTCAGCCATGGTCAGCTCGCCCTTCCATGACGTAGGGCGCTCGGCGCGAAAGCGGTCAAAGTGAGTGTCGAACTCGTAGACACGGCCAAAGACGCCATCGGCAATCATCTTCTTGACTGTGAGGAAGTCACTGTCCCAGCGACGGTTCTGGTAGACACAGATGAGGCGCTCATTCTCCCTGGCGATCTGAATGAGTTCCTCGGCCTCCTCGATGGTGGGCACGAAGGGCTTCTCGACTAGGACATGCTTGCCGGCCTGCAGGGCCTGCTTAGAGAAGCTGAAGTGAGTGTTGGGTGGTGTGAGGATGTTGATGATGTCAACATCGGGGTCCTGAAGCATGGGCTCCAAGGAGGTGTGGTGCTTCAGCTCAGGGTAGTCACTTGGTGCCGAGGAAGAGGCTGTGGGCTTGCGCTGGACGATGCTGTGTAACTTGAACTGAGGTGTGAGGTTGATGAAAGGGATGTGGAAGACCTTGGCGGATAGTCTGCAGATGGTCGGTCAGCACGTGGTTCAAGTTGTCTTCGGTGAGTCGTGCCGAAAGTGAGCCTATTCCGAAAGCATGCAAGGGGTTCTAGAGCAAGGATGGCATGGACTGAGAGATAGTCTCACTTACCCATATCCAATGATTCCAACGTTGAATGTCTTGCCTGCTGCCATTTTGTCTCTTGTGGCTTCTTTTTGCACTGTATAATGATTTTGAGAAACTGTGAACTTTCTTCCCACGACAGACTCAAACGAAATGTCGTGAATTTGACAGCTTTATATAGCTATCGTCGTGCTGGATCACTTTAGCATGAAAGGCGATGAGGGGCACGAGGGGGCAATCGTGGAGGGAACTGGAGCTTTGGTGGAGTGACGGGCCAAGATTACCCCATTGCGTCACTAAGGAAGGACTCGGCGCTTTTCTCAATGGACGACGGAGAAAATTGCCCCATTTTCGGTGCGTCTGTCAGGTCACGGACGGCGGCGCTAACGCCCACTTTGACACACCGGGTTTACCGGCCGTGAAGGACTGTTAGAGTTGCCTGAATAGGTCACCTTGGGTTCCGGTGAGCTACCCCCCTTCACCGAGCCAGAGCCACCGGTTGTATTCCTCACTCGTTTTCAGGCAGTGAATTGACTCAACATGGCCTTGATGAGGCCAATATATCCATCTATCAATCACCATGTTCTCGTTGCGTCTACTTGTAGCCGGGCCACCACATTACCACGTCTCCCCGATGAATGGGAGAAACCTACTCCCAGTCAAGTAGATCCCCTTCGGTTGCTCCCGGAGTGAGACAAAGTCCTCCACATAAAAGTACAGCCGGCACGTTACATACAGCCCAGATATGAGAATATTTGGGATAATCACAAACAAGGGCACCGCCATAGTTGGGTCCCTTTCCGCCGAGTTATTAACTTCGGACCGAACCAATGCCATCAGTCGATGGACAATACCCTTTGTCGTAGTCGGCGAGGTCTTGGCTTCCTGTGACTGGTTCTGAGCTTCGGCGTCCGCGTTAATACCTTGGTATGTCGGCTGAATGACGCCACGCAGGCGTTTCTGGGCGCGATGCCATTTCTGGTCTTCGTAAAGCCAGTGAAAGGCCCCGTACAAACAGAAAAACATGTGGTACGACGCTGCCAGCCTCCAAATGAGTTGCTCCGTCGGTGTAGGAAACTGAAAGTTCCATCCGATCATGAAGGAAACGCTGAAGCCAACGATGAAGACGCCTCCGAGAGGATAGTACATCAGTTCCATAGGGCGCCATATATCGGAGGGAAATCTGTCCCAAAGTTCCTTTTTGATTGGTCGTCCGTAGGGATGAAGATGCATCATATCGCCCAACCTTTTGTAAAAGCACCAGTACGCGTCTATGCGGAAAATGCGAGGAGTGATGTCGTCGAGTGGTGTACGGTGCCATGCTATTGGAAGCTGGGGATGCGTCTGCGAGAGTTAGGTCGGCGATTGTTAATGTACATTGGAACAAATCATGGCACTCACGTGGGATCTGGCAAAGCTTCGAATCTGGTCCAAAGTCACTTGCTCCTCGTCTGAGACCTTGGTTTCGATGTATCGGGGATAGGAAATCGCCGGTTTTGGGTACCAGCAAATAAATGTCGCAACCATGGCGAAAGTGAAGGATAGCGCCGTCAATTCTAGAGCGGTAATGGGCAATCCGTTTCTGACGCGGTCCATCTCAGTAATGAAGAACCAAAGTGCTTGCCAGAGAGTGATGAGTCTGGTGAATGTCAACAGCAGGACCATTTCGATTGTGGGTGGAAGTTTAGAAGCTACCTTGAGAGAGTATCGACCGTGTTCCGTTCCGCGATATCCATGGACTCCATATCAGGGAACTCGACAAAACCGTGCTTAACCAGATAATGCAGCTGTTCAGCGTCGATGGGAAACCCTTCCGGAAAGTCCGGACTCTTGAGAAATATCCCACCCATGTCAACAAAGAAGGCTTGCTTGTACGTCCACTTCTTTCCGCAACACAAGTGACTGTCTTCTTGAAATTGCTACCAACGTTGGAAAACGTGTCAGTCGCTGGTCGGATTCCGTGGAAGTGAAAAGCCTTCCCATACCTTGACACTACGACGAGCACTAGAGAGTTGGCCAACAGCAAGTCCGAAAAGGAAATCCGGGCCTAAAAGTCCTATCATCGCGAGATTGACCTTGTCAAAGACGCCGTGGTACCACTTGTCTTTCGGCGATAGAGCGTTTGGGTGGGTGGCAACCCAGACGCAGAGAATGATTGTCAACAGGCTCGACCAGAGAATGTCGATGCTCCCCCTATCTCTGCCTGCGGCGACCCATCCGTGGATACTGGTGGTGATGTCGCTGTGGTTGATTCCATCGCGCGGTACCAAGTGGCTGAGGATACGAATGCCGGGTTCGTCCATTGATTTGGCGCTTCCGAATTACCAACTACCTTAGTTGATGAGGTTTTTGGTGATGGGAGGATATCACGATTTGGAAAGTCGATGCACCTAAGCAAGTGACTAGGATGAATGGATCACAAGCACTCACTGTTTCAACTTACGGTTCAGACTTGTGAGATAGGCGAAATTCCCAGAGAATCCGTACTGTAGGTACATAAGAGAGAACCACACTCCTCTTCATACCTCCTGATTGTAGGGGAGCATAGGCGCCTTAAATGACACAGGCGGTCAAGATCCGTCAGCGTGAAGTCGGCTGCCTGCAGGAAATGGATGAAAGCTATTGGCTTCTGTGAAATGAATACGAAACAAGACCCCTTGCTGTTCTGCCTCATGACCTGCAGCCTGCGCCATAGGCACTCACGGAGGGCTTGCCTTATTGAGATTGTTTTGTTGGTTGGAGATTGTGCCTGTTTGGGCCCAGGGTTGCTGCTAACCGCCAGTTGCCCCAATGTGGTGCGTCACCCCACTCTCTTGCAGCCTTTGTCTTTGAAGTATCAGGGGGACTACTGATACAGCCTCAATGATGCAATTCAAAATTATCTTTTTGGATGCCTTTGTATCGACGTTGGCGATTCGAGAAGCCCTCTTTCTTCGGACCGGGCCTTCATCTTCGGGTAGGACGAATCTTTGGAAACCAATAGAGAAAGATTGTGACCCAAACTTTAGCATCATGGTTAAATCAAATGGGTCATCCCCTTTGCACCTAATGATCCGTCCCGTCAAAATTGGTGCAGAACCCTCCTTCGCTTATGTAGTAACAAGATAAGGATAGCTATGAGTTGCATACTTGAAATGGAGTATTCAGAGAGCCAGGTGTCGTCCTTTTTTCATTAGGATATTGAGAAAAGCCAGAGACCTGACTTAACATTGAATTCCGACAAGAGAGAAAGCAAGCCGAAGGTTATTTCTCAAGCTCTGACTTGGCCGAACGTTCTACTCAAGCATCCCAAAAACGCTTGAAGATATTCCCATACTAGTAGAGAGTAGGAAAGACAATGAAGTTTGAACAAGAGGAGATAGATATCCGTGATTGAGTAAATAATTCACAAGAAATTTGGCTCTTCATGGATGCGCGAAGGGCAGGGCGCGTCATCTTGACTGAAGTTGTCAAACCTGCGCCAATGCGTACACTGGTCTCCACCGGGGCATCGGCCCGCATCGATCGTCTTCATCCCGATGGGATTGCCGCCGAGGATTCGAGGCTTCAAATCCTTCACAATCACGAAGTCTTCTATTACTCAGTCATATTGATCACCGATGTGTGCCGTTGGGAGGAGAACAAGGCGACAGCATGATGTAATTTGGTGGCCATCCCACGACATGCTGTTATTTTGCGGGCGATGTTGTGGGGATCTGAAGTCATCCCACTGTGGGTGCGCCGTCTGTTACAGGAGGTTTATCTCCGGCTTGAGTTGATGTGAGAAGAGCTCAATATGATGTCATGCGCTCAGAAGATGTTTATATGGCAGCTTTGGAAGCTCGACAAGATGAAGAAACGGAAAGACAATCAACTCTCACAGCCTCATTCAAGATATTGAAGACGACTTTCATTCTAGTGAAGCATTTTTCCCCAAAATCTCTAGACGCACCAACTACCACAAACAACCTATCAAAATGTCTGCTCAGTACAAGGCTCCTAGTGCTGGCGCCAAGGTATGTCTTCACATCCCTGGAGTCATGCAAGCCCGTTTTCGATAGCCTTTCACAGAAATGGAAACTAACACAAGCCATAGGTTGAGCCCGGCGCCGACGTCCGTCCCACCCAATCCGAAGCAACCGGTCCCGTCCCCGCCGGCTCCCTCGCAGCCGAGTCCGCCAGCCAAGGCGGCGAATTCGCCTCCAACCGCAACGTCGACACCGCCGCCGCTTCTTCCCGAACCAGCACCGGCGGTGCTCCCGGGTCTAGCGCCGCATCGATCGCCGATCAGGCCGCCGCAGCGCCGACATATGTAAACAACCAATACGCCCGCGACCCCAACGGGCCCCACGGGAAGAATATCACCGAGGGCTTCGACACGGCAAACACCGAGGACGGAGTGCAGGCTGCGTTTAACGCAGAGGTCGGTAGCGAGAACGACCCTGGCCGTGTGGCGGAGCAGGGGCTGCTGGAGAGCCAGACTAAGGCTGGGCGGGATACTGGACCCCGGCAGACGGAGGTTGGGGGAGAGACTGTGTATGAGAAGCTGAAGAGCGATGTTCAGGCGTAGGATGTGTTTGGTATAGCGTATGGTTAATGGTCTCTGTACGAATAATCGTGTTGGAATTACCGGTGTGGGCGGCGATGGATTATGAAAGTAACAAAGTATCTCCCAGTCATGGAATGGATGGTCAAGAGTGCTAGGATGCACAATCCGACTGGAGAATGTTAAGTTTTTGCGAATTTACAACATTGATTTTCGCAAACCATACCGCGCAACGCTTTTCTCAGCGCAGTCTCGATAACTGAACGTGAAATTACGCTGATTAACGTCCAAAAATTATCCTCAACTTGAATAAGTCAATTTTGTATTGAAATTACCTAATGAAGTTGTGACCCAGGTTATTTACTTCACATATGGGAAGTTATCCAGAATTTATACTCGGTTAACGGTGAAATGAGTCTATGAAGAATTTTTTTTACTTGTAATCCTGGACGATAACTTGACTAGCCAATACATTCCAATCGAGTAGAGTTAATGTCAACTTCACCATTCACCGTTGGCTACATCAATGCAGGGACTCGGATAATTTTCCCAAAATAGAGAACAAATGTTGAAATCTTTTTCACTGAGCTCTAGTCTCACTCCTCTACCAAGATTGGAAAAGGTATACCAAAAAGAGATATGGAGACAAGAGATTAAGAAGACCAAAGGGAAAAGGCCGAAATACAACTCCTTCGAGCAACTCACCCAGAATCGCCATGGTTCTATGCTTCAATATACCTTACGTCGGGCACTGTACTGATCGTCAGGATATACGTGGCACTTCAAAGACCTGTCCTTTTGCAAAACATTACAATGGACTAATGTTAGTTCCTACAAAGTTTTCGTCGCCGGCTGTCACCTCATCTATTTAAGCTGCGGCAGATTTTATTGAGAGCTTCTTCTTGAGATAATTGTTGACTAGCTTGCAAAAGTCTTCCGGTGCTTGATCGTAGTATTTGACACACGCGCTTGAACTATTCCCATGTTGCCCTCGACACTCGTGGAGTGCCTGGTGAGGGAGGTCTAGGACCTTTCAAGGCCTCGGCTCGCATTGCCCATCGCCGGGAAGCGCGGAACCGCCTGATCTGAATTCGTTGTGCGCCAGCGCTTTTGCAAAGGTCTACTCATACCTCCTCCGAAATCATCTGTTCTCCTCGGATGAGAAAACGCCTCATCTTTGTCCAGCTGTTCGTTGCGAATATTGTCGGCACGCAGACTGTCAGTCCTCGCCTGATCTGAATCCGTACTGGCTTGCGCATGCACCATATAACTGCCGAACCGTTCAACCACTCGGGAAACTTGCTCAAAATGGCTGGCATTGAGCACAGGGCCGACACTTTGGTTGGCGTTCCCGTGAGACGAATGTCGGGCCAGTGAAGCGGCGACTTGAAAGGCGTTGCGAATTTGCCGACCATTCCACCGTAAGTGCGGTCGTTCTTCATAGGTGGCGAAATGCTCCTTAGCATAAGCAATAATGGCTTCATCCTTGATATTGATTGGGGGCCGGTCGTCTCTCTTCCCAATCTCTCTCAACCTCTCGATATTCGCACGGAAAATGGCGATGGTTTGATCCTTTGACAGCGGCTCATAGTAAAGACTCACGTGTATGCGGGACTTGAAAGCTTCGTCGAGCGCGCCGACTCGATTAGTAGTCAGGATGAGAATGCCCCTGTAATACTCCATGACACGAAGAAAGACTGCAAAGATTTTGAGTCAGGAAGTCGTTCTCGCGATCAAAATTACATTTCAGGAACGCTTACCAGATACTAAAGCACTCCGCTCCAGATTTTGGGTACTTCTTCTCGTAAGGAACACATCGGCCTCGTCAAATAGCAAAACACAATCCCACAGATGGGCTAGCCGAAATATTTCGTTCATGTTTTGCTCAACCAACTCGGGCGTGATGCCCAAGTCTCCACAAGTAATCGCGAATAATGGTTTGTCGTTAGCCTGTGCTACCGCCTCTGCAGTTGCTGTCTTTCCGACTCCCGGAACACCGTGCAAAAGAATTGACAAACCAGATCCTTTTCCATGGACGATGTCTTGACTCATCGATCTTGAGTTCGGTTGACGTCGTTCCATCTCGCGCTTCTCAAAATGTTCTGCCACGAGACATTGTACAATATGTTGATGCCTTTCATCGATGCTCAAACTTGCGAAAATATCGGGGTAATGGGTCTTGATCTCCATCGAACACACATCGACTGCCACAAATTGTCTTTGCCGGAGAAAATAGGCCAACATCCTGCGAGGTAGGACAAGGTTGTACATAGGGTCGAAACCATCAAGGGTGCTGATAGTCTCGCTACCGCCCTTGTGAGCCCTATAAAAGGGGTTGGTAGTTCTCCCAAAGACTCGTTCGAGTTCCGTTTCGGTATCGTCGGTCTTGACTATTGTTTCTCTTATGCTTTCGTGAGGCTTGCCCCAATCTTTGTCGGCGACCGGGTTTGGCCAGTGCCAAATGGGCATCTTGTCGACCTCATACCTCCAAGAAGAGCCCCTATGGGAGGGTGCAAAGTCGAACGATGGGAGCCAGTGAGGTTCGTTCTTATATGTCTCACCGAAGTCGATGATGATGTCGCCGTCAATATAAAGGGGTGCTTCTTTGCGATAAGATACCTCCAGTAAAGGGTCTGAAACTGTCCACCCATCGTAGGCCACATGCCTTTGCTCGAAACATGCTTTGTACTTCTTTGCGCGATCTTGGAGCATACCCACAAAATCTTCCACGTTTTCGCGAAATCGCAGAGGATACGCAGGCAGTTGTCTGATGTCTCTGTTGCCCGACCATCCCTTCATAGTTATCGTGGTCATTCTCGGTCCGAAGGTCTTTCCGTTATGGTCAATGCATGTAGCCCACAAACTCATCGTGCGACTCTCAGGAGGCAAGTGGTCGGACGAATCGTAATTCCTATGATGGAGTATGAAGGTTGTCTGAAAATTTTCATCTTCACCACCATGCCCAAGGGCGACGTGGTCTTCCGTCTTTTTAGATGGAGTGCTGGTTGTGTAGATGACCTCTCCATGCTTGAAAAGATACCATAATTCATCGAATCGTATCGTAAGCTTATCGGTTCCTAGGAACATGCTATCCATTGGCATGATCTTCTCTTCGAGGAACTTGATGTAGCAGCGAACATGCTGCAAAGCCGTCGTGTCGTGATCGGTGTCCGGTTGATCCGATCCATTTATAGGGTGGAGATCTATATTGGCTACTCTCTCTTCCAGTTCCAGCAAAACCTTCTTCATCTTCGAGTACGTCACAAGGAAGCAGGCGAATGGTTTGCAGAATACCAATGGCTTTCCAAGATCAGTCTCCCACTCGGCTAAAGGACTGACTTCTCGTAAGGATTGCAGAATAATGGGCGAATGAATCCGGACACGCTGGATCCATGCGTCAGACCCAGCAGACGTTGTAGCATCTCGAATGTTTCTGTATTTTTTGCCTTTTCTACAAGTCTTTTCGGCAACGATATCGTCATGGAAGTTGTCAGAACCGACGAAGGCTTCAATGATGTGAAAGCGAGTGTCGTCGCCCCAACGATTCTTGAACTCTGTAAAATTGCATTCTCGGACCGAGGGTATGAGTGGATTGTCGGCAAGGAAGGTTTTCAAATCGAGATGTCCAGTTTCCTCGTGCCCAAAGGCGCTATCGTGGCTACTGGATCCTTCAGATTCATCGGACTCGTCGCTCCAATAGGTCGTTCCTGGCTTTCGGTAACTCATTGTCGGACGAGTGTTGAGAGAATAGTCAAGGCGTGGGGGACTTCAACGTGAGGCTGCGAGCAATTCTCCGACATCCGATTCTGCTTGTGGGAAATATAATCTGACAACGACCTGCTGACGCTCGATGGAAGTTGGAGCATTTTGCGAGAAAGCTGGGTGCCTGTCTGCAGGGCCATGCAGCAGCATGGTCGACCACGTAGACACTGCAGGTGATGTTTGAGGCTTTGAGCAGGCTATCCATTGTATGGAGACAAAACTTGCTTGCTTTCGTGGCAACAGTAGAACCAGACCATTTTGCAACAGCCTTTCCTCTATCGGCAACACGCATACTTAGGTATCCAAATGAGAGACACACGGAACTTTTGACATCGGTCTTTCCGTGCTTGCATGCATTGAAATACCATTGAAAGTAGATAAAGCGCCGGTTAGCGAGATCATGGTTCCGCGCGGGAGCCGAAGTCAGGATGGAAGCGTTCGGTTGCAGCTGAGCTAAGGACGCAGGACGACAGGGCGATTTTTCGATGAAGTAAGCGATTGGGCACGGGGAAAACGCCCAGAAAGAGTGACTCTTGAGATTGAATTGATTTGTGCCAACAAATGGTGTAATTAACGCCAGCGCGATCGACAATGCGCTGCGTCAGACGCCTTACAAATGGCATCCCGTTTTACCTACCTTACATCGCCCAATCGTATGTTGGGCTCCAATGCATTGGAGTTGCATAATTTTGAAAGAAATGTCTCGGGCAGTACAGCAGTATTTGGAGAATTCTCCTAGGTGGCTCTTGATGCAATCTCGAATAAGAGTGATCGTAGAACAGGCTCTACGTAAGCCACAGTTTATGGCTAGGTTGTATTGGTTCTTGATAGTCAGCTGCCTTGGACCCCGCAGGATATCGGGTGGTTGACTGAATGATGTAGAAAGTCTCAAACCCTTCCAAACATCAAGTTCCTTCGTCAGTGGTCAGCACATGCGTTCCTTAGTGAATGATCCCCGACACTAGGCAGGAGACTCTCCTAAATCCAGGGGCCTTACACCCACACCGCATCCTTTCATCAGTACAACAGTTCTGGATAGTCACAGACGGATTTTATTGAGACGATATCGAGACTGATCTGGCCATCGCTGAATTCAAAGGCCGGATTACGCAACCTGTTGTTCATAGACGGAAGTTCTGTTTCGTCTCTCTACACCGCTCGCTTTGGAATCTTATGCGGCAGAAACCCCATGATCAAAGTCTAGAGACATGGTCAACAACACGATGAACCCAGAGGACCCTACGATCGGCCGGCTGCTTGGCAGCAGGTCGGATCTAGATGAGTAATTCAAATCTTTTCCCCTCTTGGTTGCCGATGGCGTTGACATATCCATCTTCAGAAGATTGCAAAAGCTCAAATTATTTGCCCTCGAAGACCAGAGATTCCCTTTGCGAAACGATTCGAAGATACAAGACTGGGAAGCGTTGTATGATCAAACGGTGTCTGCTGAGACGAAAGCGACTGGCAACCTAGACGGTGGACCTTCGGCCATATTTGGCCGTCTGGGCGAGCACGCTGACGCCATTGACCCTTGGGTCAATCTGATCCCAAATGAATATGGTCTTTGTATTGTCAAGTCGGTCTTTGCGGTCATTTTGCATGTATGAAAGCCACATCACAAAGGCCTGATATTTAGCACAAAGTTAATGGACTCATAGGAGGCTAGGAAAGTCGAGAAAAGACGACAGGCCATCTTTGACGCCTTTGAAAAAGTATCCGGACTTATCAGGAATGTCAAATCTCGTGGCATCGCATTTCGGAGCAATTCCGACGTCTCCAACGGCATTAAGCATCTCTACGAATGTGTAATTGATACAATACAAGCTCTCCTAGCTTCAACACAACGAAAGAGTCATGTTTGGCGTGAGTTTGACTCACATTTGTTTCTGGGATCAAGATTTAGCTGACAAGCTTGACTAGGAGTCTTTCTGAAGATGAAGATGAAGGAAGAAACAACGAATGCGCAAGATATCTTGAAACCACTGGATATCGCCGTAGAGAACCTTCAAGGGACCATTGAAAAATGTCGAGATGCAACAATCAAGAGTACAGATCAAAACACGAGATCGACCATGACTGAAGTTCATACTTCCAGATTAGCTCTCGCAAGGATGGAAGAAAATCGGCGAAATGACATGCAAGATGTCATGAGAAGGTTCCAAGGATTGAATGAAGGTATATTAGAAGTTCGACAAATTCTGTCGCAAAGTAAGTCGCGTGTCAGCAAGTGGGCGTAGCAGATACTAAGTTCTCTTTAAAACACAGATCCAGTCGTCTGCATAAGCCCGGCGGCACATTTGCTGGACACATCGAGCTCTACGGCAAATGGAACAAACCAAGAAGCTGTGTCGCAGTGGTACTGGCTACTTGGCATTCTGACCGACTTAGATCCTCAACAAAATCCAGCTGATGCTGATGCTCTATGTTCCGACGTAGTACAAGATGTAAACCGAGATCTACACTTGATACTTACGCATGCAACGAAGCTCCCCCTCACATCCCAAGGACAAGCGCATTCAATTCTCAACTATGATCGCTTCTTTGACTGGATATTTCAAGACTGTTCGGATATGCTTCTCATTGAGGGCAACATCGAAGACACTGCCCGGGAGAACGTTTCGCCCATGTCACTGTTTTGTGTCAACTTTGGTCTGACGATGATGGACAGAGACACTGAAGCTGTCGTCTTATTCTTCTTTTGCGGGTTACACACAGATTACACAGCAGATAATTGGGCCGGACCAAACGGTATGTTACGGTCTCTGATTGTGCAGCTTCTCATATCCATCTTGCAACAAAAGTGTCCTGAGCTGGATCTCTCGAACACAGACTACGTCCGCCAGCTTGCGGCTCTAGAGATGGAGACCCTGGCCAACTTGTTCGAAGATCTGCTGAACCAGTTCGACGAGAAAGACACTATTTACTGCATCGTCGACGGCGTATCTCGATTTGATGTCCACGCAGGCAAATGTGCCCAGTACATGTGGTTCATTGTGCAGCGCCTTCAGAGTATGGTATGTGACAGGGAACGAGGACCTCGACTGAAAGTTCTCATAACAGTCCCATTCCGATTATCTTGGGAATTAAGAGGAGATATGCCGGATGACTTATTTCTTTCATTGCGCCAACGGGATGTCAACCCGCGGGCGATGACTGAGAGGTCGTTCCGCGCAGCCTTCCCAACACAGTCCATGAGAATGGCAGCGTCTGTGCCAGCATACAAAGAAGAAGTCGCGGATTACGAGGATGAGAGATATATCAGCACTCCTTGTCATGGGACAAATGCAGCTCCTTAGATGCGAACGGAACTGTTGAGAATTTAGAGTATAATTTGCGGTGCGTGTAGTGTTTTGGGCTTTTTACGCCTCGATTCCATCACGTTACTCTCAGCCTGGATTTTTGAAGCTGATGTAGTTTAGCTATTAAGCTGGTTTCTCAGCGCGATAGAGGCGGGCGAGCCGGCTAAGTGTGGCTGGCCGATCTGACCTACGGCCGCGAAATCGAGGTGAAGGTTTCGCGCGCGATGAGGAAAGGCTTCTTAAGCCAGCTGCAACCATTATTCATCATCAGCATCGGGCGCTTGGTCTAGGGGTATGATTTTCGCTTCGCATTTCCAACAGGAACGCGCCTTTGTGAAAGGTCGTGGGTTCAATTCCCACAGTGTCCAATTCTTTTGCATTTTGTGGTGAGTCTGCCATGTTTTTGCTTCATAGAGCCACCAGTTAGCTTCGAATTGCATCATTTCTTGGGTCGATTGATGAATGGTGATGACGGACGCTTCACTACCGGCATGTGTACTTACTTTACCATGACTAACTAACTAAGCTAAGAGTACTATTGCAGTGAGATAAATGTATGAATGAGTGAGTGGGTGCCTCTCTCTGACTTACACATGAGTGAGATACAGTTCAATCTGTCCGATATTTCATGAGAGTCGTCAAGAGTCGTCTCGCCGTCGCCCGTTCATGTCGACGAATATTCCCGAGTATGGCGTATTAAACTTTGTTGAGGCGTCCAGTAATTAATGGGTGACAGTTGCTAGTGAGCGAAGGCACGGATTCGGTCGGCCCCCGAAAGGCGAGTGGAGCCGTCCAGAATACGGTTGCCTAAATCTGTCAGTGCTAATTAACTGCATGATGCCGCGCCGTTCCCTTTCCCGGGGAATTTCTCACTGCTGGAGACGATGGAATTTTCCATTGAAACGATGGAAGAAAGGTGCGACAAGGGCTGATCCGAGTCTTATTCCAACATCAGGCCTACCATCACATTTCCTCCGTCCAACGCCTTCTTGAATCTTGGCCAACTAGCTGGAGAAACTCGACTCGGCATTCTCACCCGAGAACGTGCCACAAGAGGCGCAGCCGTTGACGCCGAGCCCCCTTGTTACGGGACGAGTCAGGACAAGAACGGCAAACCTTACCGCAAAGAAGCTTGTTCTTTTTTCTCCTTCAGCGCTTCTTGCCTACGTCTCTACTATTATTCAGCGGGGGTTGAGCTGCCGATGCCCCGGAACTACAAGGAAACCGAGACACGGGAGCGCTGGGAACGTCAACTGTGGAACTACATCTCATTCATTGATCGACGACATTTCGACACCAGCAACAACGACGTAAAGGGCGGAGGATAGGCGACGTGGACACACATCTCACCCATGCTCGTCCTACGGTAGACGCAAGATGAGTGCGCCCGAGTCGTACCAGCTCGAGTCCCTCGCCTCGGACGCGGACGGCGTCAAGCCTACATCACCGACGGCCTCCATCGACCCGGCCAACGTGCGGTGGATGAACCAGGGCGACCGGCGATGGGAAGTCTGCAAGATCGTGACCCGTCTCGTCGGGACGCTACTATGCGCCATCATCCTCATCATCATGATGGCGTGGTATGGGTACCCGCCTTGGGATAGCTCTTCAGTCGCGCTTTGGCTGTGTCTGCCGGGAGTAAGTTTTATCACTTTTCTTTCATCTCATACAGCAGTAAGCTCATCATGAGACGAAAACTTTAGGCTTTGCCGTCCTTCATGTGGGATCTGGGCGAGTTCCTCACCATCTGCGCCCGCCATGGACGCGGCATCACGCCAAAGGCTCACATTGGCCTTGAACTCATCATCTCCATCCTCGGCTACATTGGCGGAGGCTGGCTGGCGTTCCAACTTGGTGTCCAAGAAGACGACCAGATAGGAAATAACCCACTCAACCTCGCCCTCGTAGTATGCATCTTTATGCTCATCAGCGCGTGAGTATACCTTCCTCTCTCCCTTCTGTTACCATGCTCATATTTCCTCTAGAACAATCCACATGGCACTCTTCATCCGCGCCTGTATAGAACGCAGCCGTGAGATCCGCCGGCGTAGACCGCGCGTGATGTACATCCCAGAAACAGGCCAAACAGTCTACGTTGTGGCCAAACCCTTTCCGAAACTACCTACCTGGAAATCCCAGTCCACACGCGCCCAATCCTTCCCGCGCTCACCGCAGAGCCCGCTCAACAACTCTTTACGGCACCACTTTGCACAACTCCAAGAAGAGATGCCTCCGCCGTTACCCGACCGGCCCGGCGACCAATCTCCGTCTTCGGCATCGTCCATCAAGCGGAAACCTTTACCGGGCGCAGGTATCCCCGCACGCACGTTCCCGGCGGGTGGTGATAGTCGGGACCGGCATCTCCGGCCGAATATGCGTCCTCCGCCGCCGGATTATGAGCCTTCTGCGGAGGAGCTGGAGAGGATGAGACGGGGTGACGCGCAGCCTCAGCTTATTTTGCCGGGAGATGTGGATTTCAAGTTTGCTACGAGCGTGACTGGCATGACGCCGGCTGATGCGAGCGCGAGAGAGGGCAAGTATAGGGTGAATATGACGCAGATGCCGGTGGTGATGGGGGAGTCGTCGAGGGGTGGGAGTGCCGGTAGGACGAGATCTATCTAATCGTCTGCTGTGGCATCTGTGTACCTTATTTAGGATACCTCATATGAGTGTATATCTCACTCATTCTCTGTGTAGCATTTTCATGATAGGTGGGACGGCGTTTGGGGGTATCACAAGACTGCACAGAACAGTCTCATTTGGGAACAAGCATCTCATGATATTCTTTTAATTCAATCTTCTCATTTGATTTCATCTCCAACTCATCCTTCAATGGGAAGATCATGAAATACCTGTCGCAGCAATAGCCCAGATTGAGATCCGATTCACTCAAGTCTCAAATTCTCGGGCAATTCAATTCAAGATGGCGTCGATCAAAAGTGCCAGCCCTCGAGCGCAAAGCAGGGCGCAGCACTAGCTCGTCGCCAACACTCAGGCTGTCAGGGGCTCGTCGCGCCGTGACAGGCCCAACCCAGGCCCTGCGACACGAACCACAGACCCACTGGGTGCCCACAATACAGAGATCTGACTGGCTACGGTACCACGGATGGATGGACTTTGGGGAATGAGGCCCCCCTGTAGTGCCCTGTAGTGTGAGGTAGTGTACCTTAAGACTCCAGGTAATGTACTGAGGTACGTACTGTAAGCCCCCCTGTTGGTGCCCTCTGATCTTTTCCCAGGGTTCGTACTTTTGGCTCCTTCATCCTTGGCCCATCGGCCCCCGAGTTGCTTGTCGTCTGCCGTTCGATTTCCATCCCGGGCCTAAAACGCATGCGACCTGAACATGCCGCTGCCGACACTCATTCTCCTCACTGCCGACCTCGCCGCGTAATCCAGCCCCTCTAACTCAGAACAACAAGCCGAGCGCCATTCGAGAATTCTTCTGTTCATCATCTAGACGACAGCTCTACGACACCTTCACCCTCGAAGCATCACCCGCAACTTCAATGGCAATCCCATCATAGCCCACGCGATCATCCCTCCCCAAAATCGCCCATCCCGCGGCCTCCGAAAGACGAAAAGAAACATACCCCCTCCCCTCGCCAAGGGGCCAAGGGGAGGACCTAGACGATCACCAGCGATGCAGACCTCCTCCCGCGCCTCCGAGAAGACTCTATCAAAATGGACAACACGCCGCTCCACCCAGACATCACGACCCTCCCGCCCGACACAGGCCAGCGCCACGGCGACTTCCTCACCGCGATCCCCTATAACCGGTCAATGTACCGCACCACTCTCCTCCTCCGCCTCGCCTCCATGCTCGACGCCGTCATCATCCTCGCCTCCCTCGCATCCCAGAAGGAAGACGACGCCTTCATCACCGACAACTGGTCTTTCGGGTGTCCCACGGCGGTCCTGGCGCTGCTATGGAGCGCGGGCGATGTAGGCGCGATGCTGGTGCGCGATCGCGGGTTTCGGTGGACGAAGAACGATCCGACGAAGCTGCCGCGGAGTACAAAGTTCAGTTGGGGGAAGCCTGGCGCACATGTGGCTGCGCATTTGCTGATTTGGACGCCGACGGCGGCGTTTATGGGGATTGTGATTTCGAATTGGTTGTATTATCAGAATGGGGGCGGTTCTCTGGATGGTATTGATCCGCGACAGACGCATACCATGGCGGCGGTGATTTTCTTCATGTTTGTCTTGGTGTACGTCTTCCCCCTCGTCAGTTTGGCTTGTGCCTGGAGATACAGCCTGATGACAGTCCCTTTTTGAGTTGGAAAATCGCGGCTAATAACAAACATGCAGGATGATCCACTTTGCGCTCTTCATCTTTGCCATTGTTGAGGTGGACAACGAGCGACGGCATTATTCCGACGTCGTCTTTATCCCGAGGGGCGAGCTATGCGAGATGGTGCCCGTGCCACCGTCGACGCCGTGGGAGATGTTCTCGCCGCGGAAGCTACTTTTATCTTATTTTGCGAACCATTATGTTCGCTTCGTGCCCGGAGCAGACGGGACGGTTACTGTTGCTCGAGACTACAGCAGTCGACAGGCGAGGTTCTGAAGAGGGCCGTCTTCACCTTTTATACATATAGGCCACACAGACTGGCTCTTTGGAACAGAACGAAGATTCAAGTCGGACTAAAGACTTGAGCATCCCTCGAATTTATCAAACATGGATGCTCAAGAGGCACCATTCATATTACTTTTAACTAACCATAGCAAGGATTGATAGAAGGAACACTGGATCCTCCGCAGGATCACCGCAGAAACAAGCGTCATTTG